TAGGTCATGAGCCGACAAACGAGATCAGAAGCAAAAAAAAAAACCACACAAGCTGAAACTAGATAAGGTGACAAAGAGAAACTTCACAGATGAAGTGACAAGAAGAAGGGAGGACAGAATGACAAAGAAAGGTAAAGACTGAATGTCTGAGAGCTTCACGTAGAGATATTATCAACTCTAACAGGTGTTGAGGAACCAGTTTCAGACTTGATTCTTACTTTTCCTTTCTCCTTTTTGACCCAACAACCTGCTGATTCAGATGGATTATTTTTACTACACCGGATGATTTAAGGTTGAAATATCTTCTTCTCTCGTTTTGTACTTTAGTTCAAATTAAGAAAATACTTCTTAGTGTACTATCAATGTCCTCCAGCAGAGACCGGTCCACCGTGGACAGACCCAGATCCTCCAGCAGAGACCGGTCCACCGTGGACAGACCCAGATCCGGCCTCTCTGCAGCCTTGGACCTGCAGTCGGAGCTCCGGAGGAAGGAGGAGACGCTGCTGCTGCTGCCGGGAGCTGAGCTCTCCTCCTCGTCCTCCTCCTCCAGGAGCAGAGCTTCTCCTCTGTGGGAGCCAACACCGACACCACGCTGCTGGAGACCCAGGACGTATTGCTGGAACCAGGACTGAGAGGGTCAGACTGTCAGACCCTGCTGCAGTAAAATGAGAGCTTTTCTAAAAGGGACTCTGGTGCTCAGAAACACTACCACTTCTGTCCACAGGGACCGCCAGAATCACCACAACATGCGAGTTCCTCACAGTAAGTTTAACTGGTGGATATCCGGCAGTGCAGAACCTCTGCTTCACCTATGATTCTTCATTTTCACTGGATGTAACAGAGCCTTATAGTGCGTCATGGTTGTGAATACAGTTTCAGACACCTTTCATGCTGCCAAGGGAAACAGTGTGGGGGAGAACAATAGCAGGAATAACATCACGGCACTCTGATGCGAGCGCTGAGGAATGCTGGGAGGTGGAGGACGGCACGTGGATGTTGAAACATCAGCGCACCGTTACTAAAAAGCCTGCAGGACTCTGCATGTTCGCTCATCACTGCTCTTATTCATATTCATCTTTTTTAATGCAGAAGCAAAAGAACAGACTTATTTTAAAGGAGATTCAGCATTATAAGTACTTTTGATACATTTAGCTGAGAATACTTTACACTGTGGTTCTAGTTCAGTAAAGTATCCGAATACTTCTTCCACCACTGAGTATCAAGTCTTTTTTACAATTAAAACACCAGTATGATTGAATATTAGTCATGATGTTGAGTGTGACGTCGGCTTCGGCACTTTGGTAAATGTCATACATGATCCAGTTTAGATAAGAGTTCATTGTGCAACGTTTTTTTTAAAGGAGAAACAAGCTGCAAGCTCAAATACATAAAACTCACTGACTCAGCCAGTGTGTGTGTGTGTGTGTGTGTGTTTTCCACTCACCAGTGTCATTTTGAGGTGGTTTTTAGTCAGCATGTTGTACTGCTCGATCCTCTGCCTGATTTCCTCCCTGCTGAACTCGGTCCGCAGCTCTCTCTCCTTCTCCACATCCTGACAAAGAGAAACGTGACACGATAAGTCACAAGTCAACCGAGATCACCGAAACATCGCGGTCCCGGTTCAGACAACGGCAGCGCGACACGAGGACGAGTGCACGACTTGAGTTCTTCCGCACCAATTTGTACAGATTATAAAGTTAATGTATAACAAATAGAGTGAAGCAGGGCGTCCTGTTCCTCTTCTCCACAAACACACACACTAAAGCTGGTCTCAGCAGAGATGTGATCACAAGTTTCTTGGAAATAAGTCATTCGGCATGAAAAAAAAGCATAGAAATGACCAAAAGTACCGATTAATCGACTAATACACAAAGAAAGAAAATGTAGGAATATATAAATCAGGAAATATAAAAATAAAATACTGTGGTAGCCAGGTTCGTTTTCCCGGACTAAAAGACTCTCACTGCTGGAGGGCCGGTGCCTGACAAAAACACAATCTGGGTCTCATGCTGAGCGACTGACTTCTAAATTTAGGCAAAACATGGAAACCTGCTGCAGGAAACTCAACAATGCAAGTCGGCTGCACAAGAGGCTTCACTGCATGCGACTGGGTTCATGATGGACTAACATCTGTACGTTACGGAGACAAACATCTGCACGCGAGCTTCAACAACCAGAAATAAGGAGGCAGGATATTATGAGTCACACCACACACAGCCCAACCCTCCTGTTTTATTATTTTACAACACAAAGCTGCAACTGCACACAACACATGCAGGACTATAATTTAGGTCACATGACAAAGCCAAATGTGTTCCATAATCGGTTGTAAAGAGCCCGTCCACTGACCTCACAGCCAATTAAAATGTATGCAGATGCTTTCAGGAAAAAGAAGTGACACATTAACACGTTTATCTTGTGTCCGTGTGTGAGTCTTCAGACTTTAATTCTCCAGAGCAGTGTGTGTGCTTACATGGGCATAGTGCAGCCCTCGTCTATGTCTATTAAAAACCACACGCACACAAACACACACACATAGTGCACGATCCAGGGAGGCTTTGAAGGCACATCAACCCTTATATGGAAAACACACACTGCTCAAGAGAAAGGCAAGGTACCAATGCAACATGTGCAAACACTGCAAACACACACACACACTCTGAGGATTTAACATTGTAATGTCTGTGTTTGAGCTAAAGGGACTTGCATATACTCACAACATTGAACAAGTCCGTCATCACGTGTTGAGATAAGATTAAAAGAGAGTTTGATGATCCCTCTACAGCAGGTGAACTGGACAGATATGCTTATAATGCAATGTCAAAACTGGATGTTTATTGTAGATTACAAGAAGAAAATCCTTCTTTTCTATAATAGTCTCTTGGAAGATTAATATTCGGATCATTAGGTTGCATTCAGCATCTATTAATATCCTGATATTGAGACAGTTTTTGTGTCTTTTTGTCTTCATAAGTGCGGAAACAATTGACAGAAAAAGAAATTATCAGTAATTCATTGTGGAAAAATGGCAAACGTTTACTGGTTCCGGCTTCTTAAATACCATTTGCTTCTTTTCTCAGTTTAAAAATATTGCTAAACTGAATATCTTCAGGTTTTGGGAAGTTGTTTGGGCAAAATAAGCAATTTAAAAGACTTTACTTTGGGCTCTGGGAAACTGTGATGGATGTTTGTCACCACATGTTCAAACTATTAACAAAGAAAAACAGTAAAATCAGCCCGAGATGTGATGAATGGTTATCGTAGAATTCATTGAATAGATAATGGAGGGAATAAAACACAACTACAGACGTTCATTAAAAAGCTCCTTCATCTAAATCCTATATTGGTGCATAAAGGAAATCCCCGTCTGTCTGCATGCGTCAATCAACCTGAGAGACACAGACACTGACTCATCAGGATTAATAAGGGAGGACACACAGGGACACAGCGGACCTTAACAATTCCACACAAAGACACAAATAACATTACGACACCACGAACCTGAGGATATCAGATTCCTTTATTTCTAAAAACCTGTTGTTTAACTGAGTATCGTGAAGTTTGACCTTTTCCCCCCATTCAGTCTTCCCTGTAAGCACCTGCCGGGTCAGATGAGTCAAAGCTTATTATTACCAGGAAGTGACAGGTAAGGAGATTCTCTGTCATCTTACCTTCCACAGAAAGACACAGAGACAGACAGAGGGGAGAGTTGCCCCCTTGAGGGAAATACTACTAGATTTAGTTTGTAGAATTAGTTTTAGTCTGCTAGCAAACATCAGAAAAATGCCAATGCTTCCTCCAAAATGTCCTTCTTGTCAGAGTAAAGAAACAACTGTTTGACCATCATGTGACAGTGACACTAAAACTGAACACTGAAAACTATGATTGATAATAACAGGCTTAATGACTGGAATCACTGCTACTCTTAAACCGAGCAAAACACTGCCTGAATGCTGTATTCTAATACCGACATAGTGATATATCATTCCAACACTGGTGGGTGTGAATATCAGGACGTCCAGCTCAGAATGGAGCAGGTTCAGAGGAACTGGGAGAGTCATAGTGACCAAATCCAAACAAACAAGAGAAGCAGAGCACAGTGGAGCTACAACACGATGAGGTCATGGTCCTGTTTAAAAGAGCACAGCGAATCCTCCCACTGAAGCTGGAGGATCGAGACTGGACGGAGGGGTAGAAGGAAAGACCAAAGACAGTAGCTGGGTTTCAATAACGAAGAATAAAGAAGTAGATTTGCAACAGAAAACAGATACTTATCTCACTTATATCCATCCATCTTTAAGTTGACTAACACTGAAGCTGAGGTCTGTATCTGACACTGCCTGCTTTCGACTTTGAATCACCTTTTACAGAACAAAATTCTGAACGTCAGAGAGCAACATCATCTGCATAAGGTCGAATCCCAGAAGATTTAATTCAGAATCAGGACACATGAAGACAGAACCACTAAAACTATAACCTAATTAAAATGTAGCCATTCATTCCTATTTTTCCTTAATTTACAATACATGTGTTGCACAAGACATTGCACAATACTTCTTTCATCTGTTGTCCCTGGGCGAGTACTAGATAACAACTTAAACCGCAACCTCACTCATTAAATGTGTCCCTCAAAGCTTAAACACATGTTTCATAAAATGCATTCCTTTTGCTGATGTTAGCAGAGCCCTTCTGTATTTCAGGCGAGGCTCAGTAATGAAGCTTAATGTTGACCTAAATCTTATAACCAATGGTGACAGTAAGACAGACTTTGTAAAACTGAATTTGTATTTAATTTCTGGGAGATGGAGAGACACAGAGGAGGATGTTGTCAACTTGATTCAGGGATTTAGCCAACCTTTGGAGGTAAAAACTACAATAAAAGATGATAATCAAGCCTTTAACTGGAACAGATATCAAAATATGTAAAGTCTCTTGAGATGCTGTACATCATAAGGTGGCTAATATCAATGAGTAAAGGCTCATATTACTGGTCTCATTGCAGGTACTGATGTTGGACAAATTGTGCTTTTAGAGGTGAAGTTTGACAGTTTGAAAGATGTATAAAAAGGCACTTATTTTAAAATCAACAAAAAAACTCTAGTTATGACTGCAGATGTATTCCTATTATGGCCCAGCTTTAGAATAGGAATAGACTACTAAAAATACAGTCCTAACTATAAAAACTGACAGTGCTAAACATCTGATTCAATATTTAAGGAATAATTAAGTTTCATGTCTCCGTCCTGCTCTTGTTGCCTGAAGCATTGGATTAAAAAGCAGAAGTGACTCTTCTTTGGTACCAGAGCTACCAGAAAACACTGGAAAAAAGAGGAAGAGAAAAGGCGACAATAAAAACGGACGAGACGGAAGAAGAAGAGGACAGATACGGAGATAAAGTTGTATCTTTATCTCTTTGTCAGAGCCTCCATGTTCCCCGACTGTGGTTTCACAAATAAACCAGGTAGTTAAAAGTTTAGTCTGCTTCAGTGTGTGAGAGAGAACTTTTTATCTCACACACACACACACACACACACACACACACACACACACACACACACACACACACACACACACGCACACACACGCAGCGTTCCTGCCTTTGTTAAACACTGTCACACTCGTCTGCATCCACTATCTTTAAATAGATGACATCACCATGTAGGTGCGTGTGCAGACAAAACACGCCGAGCTCAGCTAAATAGACCCTAAAGCAGTGGACTGTGTTTCTGTGTTATGAGTAGACTAAACACAGCGGCTTTTCTGTGCTGACTGAATCTAACTTATATTTTAAAGGACAACAAAGACGTTTCTGTGTTTACTGAAGTTCCTCTCGGCCGTGTATGTTTGAAATGACCAAAGCAAAGGTCATTTCACTTAGCAAAACATTAACAAGGAAGCTTATACTGGTTATATTATACTGGCCCTCTGCCAGTCTGACATGTTCCTCCAACTATTCAATGAATCTAATTATACAGATTACTACACATTACTGTTATTTCAGTTGATTTAGTTAGCTGTGACTTTGTATTTCTCTCAAACAGCTACTTTTTTACGATTATTTTCCCAGTTTGGTCAATAAAATATCATAAAATATTGAAATGTATTTTGATAAAGTCACAGGTGACATAATCTAATGTCTTAGTATGTCTGCTCAACAGTCCAAAACCCCAAATTGTTTCATCAAAAACTCACTTTGGAGAAGCTGGAAAATTAATTAATTTTCTGTCAATTTTATTATTGGAAACTATATTTCCGGTTAAATTGAATACAGTTGCCTGTAAACTTCCCCTCAAACATTTAATAAAATCTCTGGTGTCATTGTTAATTCAAATGGGATCAACTTTATTGATTCTTTCCACCCTTTAGCTCATTTTTGGTCTCCTCTAAATTCACCTATGTCCATTTTTCTGCCCTCCCTCGCCCTCCCTCCCTCCCTCCCTCTCCATGTTACTTCCTGTTGAGGTCGGGGGGGGGGGGGGGGGGGGGAAGTCGAGATCGACCACACCTTTCCTCCCAGAATTCCTGCACTAATGGATGCACGTATACAACGCC